AAAGAAAGTGGCCCAGCCATTGCAGGAATGGAGAATCCTCCACACACAGGAAGGACTCAGGAGGTGCAAAGGGACGTCCACCTCACCTGGGGGCCGTTTCCCGAGCCCCGTGTCTCCCAGCGAGCCCCTAAGCTGCCCTGGCAGCAGGAGGTCCCTAAGCAGAGTCACTAAAATTCCTGCCTGCACTGTGCCCCTGCCCCCCAGCTTGCACCCAGCTCCCTCGGCATCTCGGGGCGCAGAAAGGCAGCAGTGAAAGCTGCTGAGACCCAGGGCCCTGCCCCGAAACCACAACAGACTGCTTCCCCGGAGCTAACAGCGCCTTCAGACAGGGCATCTCCTCCTGCACCGCCCAGCCCTGCCACCCGCCCCATCCGGAGCGCGCATCCCCCACGGCACCGGGCGCAAGCACCGCCCTGCACCCGATCCCACCAGCACCCTGCCCGGGCCAGGGGGGTCCTCAGGGCTTGCTGACAGCCCTATTCCTCTTGCAATGTCACCTCCCGGGCTGGCGGGCGGCCCCGGTGCAGCCTGTTTGCGAGCTGGGCTTGGCTGGGCTTCCACGGTGTGATCTTCAGGAAACACCTTGGAAATGTTCACCAGGAGGCCAGGCTGTTCTCCCCCTCCCAGCTGCCAAAAAGGTCTCCGAGATACAGTTCAGATCCCAATACCTGGGGTTCACGTTAAAAAAGAGGAGACCTTTTTATAAACCTGTATATTAATAGATGTGTTACCGCGATACTCATTTCTTTCAAGACTTTTTTTGTTTGTTTGGAGTTCAGACCTTCCTCTAAGGTGCTTATCACCCAGACGTGACAAGTAACAGTCTCTCAAAGTGAAATAGTTCAGGGGGGAAAAAAGTGCAATTTGCTTTTCACTGCTAGAGCAGGATTTAGTGCAATGAGAAAACAGTCTCCTGAACCACCAAAGGCATCACTAGCTTGTTTATATATTCGTCAAAAGTGCGATAACTCGAGCTCTAGCCTCGCTGTCGGGAAGGGCTGAGCTGTTTTAGCTGAAACCTCCCTGCAAAGTTGAGCCGGAGGCAGACACATACCTCAGAAAACTTCAGCCCATTGGAGTTGGTGTTTGTAGAAAACTACTATCTGATAACACTGAGCATCCTTCGTGCCCCACCATGGGGCGTACTGCCTAAAAAAGAAAAAAAAAAAAAAAGAAAAAAAAAACCTACAAGAAAGAAGTAATCTTTAAATTTTTCTCCTGAGAGAGTCCTTTGGGACAGGGCTTTGTGCAGAAATGTCAGGGTGATTTTCACACCAATTTCAGAGCAGCTCTCCAATTGATTTATCTTCCTGTTTTTTAATCAGAGATTTGGTTCTCTCTCACACTATCACTAGCAGAGATGTCTATTTTAGGAAACACCAAAGGTTTTAAGAAGCTGAGGAGAAAAAGATTATCAACTCATACGGGCTCAGCCTAGAAATGGGGAAAAAAAAAAATCCTTTAATTAAACCCCCCAGGCCGAAATTCTCTGCAGATTTACCTAAATGGACTTCAAATGATATCCCTAATATTAGGGCCTGCTTTTAACTTAATTCAAGCCCTAGGCAGCTCACACAAGAGCTGGGCTTTGGATGCCTCACTGAGATTATGATTTTTAAGCGCTAACTCATGCAACTGTGAAACCCAGATTTAAAAACCTGGGCCAACAATACACTAGCCCAAAGCTCCAAGCCCAAAACAGGATTATTTTTTTTTTTAAATATACGTGTTTGTTTCCATTTTTCCAAATTTTAGTGCATGAAAGGAAAGCTGTTCAGCTGACAAAATCTTGGTGAAAGGACAAAAACATGAAAGATGTTCGTTGGGGAGCAGGGGCTGGGTCTGTGAAGGAACAATATTATGGTTTAATTTTAGTTAAAAGGGACAATATTTTGTTTCAAAGCTGCAGGGAGGGTTTTTGTGTGCTCCCAACTTTCCAGTTCAACAGTTCAGCCTCAACATTTGCTTTGTAAATCAAAGGCTTTGGGAATTACCTGGGGTTTTAAAGAAATGTCAGTAGGTTAAACCTGCCTGGCACAAACAGTCCGCAAAAAAAAAAAAGATCCATCCTCGAGGGATTTTGCCCGAAGCAAGCGCAGAGCACGAACGAACGGGGAAACGGCCCACGGGGCTGCCCGGCGCGGGGAGCCGCCGGCCCCACGAGGAACGGGGACAACGCCACGACATTGCAACGAATAGAGAGGCGAAAGGAAGCCTTTCGTCAGCCCCCTCCCCCGTCCGTGCCCCCCGACAAGGCTCCGGCTGGGGAATAACCTTGCGCTTGCCGGGGCAAATGCCCTCTGCCTCGCAGACCACGAGCCCGGGCGAAGCCTGTGCCGCACGCCGGGGGCCACGGGATCAGCCAGCTCCGCTACTTGCTGTTCGGGGTTTGCTTCTCCTGCGCCGGCCGCTTCTGCTTCTGGGCCACGCCGTAGGGCACGTGGGCAGCGACAGTGCCCATCTCCTTGGCTCCCTCCACGTGGAACATCTGGTCGTCGAAGAAGATGTGAGGACGGATCTTCTTCAGCAGCGGCCCCTTGGGAGCCCCGGCCAGGAACAAGGCCTCGTCTGTCTCCAGGCCCCAGCTGCGCAGAGTCTTTAGGGCCCGGGCTCCCGAGCTGGCCGCGCTCCTGGCAGTGACCAGGTAGGTGCGAATGGGACACTCCATCCTCAGCCCCTTGGAATAGAACTTCTTCTGCAGCTTCCCCAGGGCCTCCAGGAAGCCCTTCAGGGGTCCCTGCCAAAGCAAGAAGAAACCATGGCTCTGCAGACTTCCGTGCTACCTCTTCCTCCAGGCACCCAGTCCCAGCAGAGCCAGACATGCTGGCTAACCCCTTCTCCCTGCGAGCCCCCAGAAAGAACAGCGAGGGGCCAGCCGCAGCCATCCCGTGGGCTGCTGACCCACCCCATCTCACGCTCCACGTGCCAACCCCTGACTTGCTCCCGGAGGCGAGAGCATCCCTGTGGGATGTCTTTCTCCCAGAGGCTTTTTCTGGCTGCACCCCAGCACTACCTGTGCCAGAGGCTTGTTCTCGTGAGCCTTTTCGTGCTCAAAGAACATGTCCAAGCCGTGAGCCTTCACGATCTGCTCCGACTCATCGGAGAAGAGCACGGCGTCACCATCAAATGCCACCCGCAGCTGGTTCTCCGACACCTCCAGATCTTTGCTGGGGCTGAAGATGGTGGCTGCAGCAATCCCTGTGGAGGCAAAGCGTGAGGCAAGAGGTGGCAGTTACCCACGGACCTGGCCTCATGGCTTATCCATTGAGGAGCGGAGCAAAACACGATGGGCTGGAAGGGAACACTGCAAGGAAATGCACGCACCTGGTAGTGCCTGCAGCTTGGCCCCGAGACCTTTTACAGCAAAAACACATCCCCAGATGACAAACCTCCCTTTGCATAGAAGAATTAACAGGGAAAAACAGTGCCTTTGCCTTGGAAGAGCTGCAGAGCTCAAGGAAAGCCTTATTTCTATGGAAACTAGAGGCTCTTTGGAGCATCACAGATGGGACGTGGGACAAGGCAGACCCTAGCTGCACATCAACACAGGGACAGGGATTTTGGAGCTATTGCTCCTGGCACCGACCCCCTGAGGGCTCCAGGCTCCCCCCACTGCCCCCCCCCAAACTGGACCCCAGACTCACCCTCTTCAATGGCCCCACTCACTTTCTCGGCGTCGGAGGAGAGGTAGAGGTTGGTGTGATAGGCCTTGAGGTAACAGATGGGGCTGTTCCCTCCTGTCATGCAGAACCTCTCGATGAACAGATCTGAGGGCAGATGGACCCCAGGATAAGCCTGATTGCCCCCCAAATAAGCCTTGACGCTGCTCCCCTGTGGCATCCCAAGAGTCAGCAGGATGGGGGCTAATTTCGGTACTGACGTTCAACAGCATGGCCGGCAGCCAGAGCATCCTCACCACCAGCCAACTTCCACTTAAAACCCAGGAAATTTGGGAGAAGTGGGCTCAGTGTGTGGTTTGGAGGAAGAGACAGGAGAAAGCGTCTCCTTATCTTGCTGCCAAGCAATAACACTCTGCCCAAACGCCGTCAGCACCCGCGCAAAGGACAGCTTTGCTCTCGGCTTACCATAGTGGTTGATGCTGTTGATCAAGCGAACCCCAACCTGGGCATGGTTGTTGGTCATGAGGACGATGTCGAAGAGCTCCTCGCTGTCAGGGTAGAGCTTGCGCAGCTGCGTGTTCACCGCTTCCAGCGCCTGCAGCACCCCAGGGCAAGGCGAGGGGTGTCAGTGAGCCCCAAACATGGCCCTGACCCCCTTCTCACTGAGCAAAACACTTCTGTTCACCAAAACCAGGGATCTGACCCAACCCCAACTACACCCTGAGCCAAGCTGACATCAGCAAGCAGCTTTAGCTGGGAAAAAAAAAAAAAAAAAGAGACTGATTTTGGGGGAAAATAACCACATAGCTACTCTTCTATTTTCAAACACAAAAGGTTTCAAATTTTCATTAGGAGATGAGATGAAATTAGCTCAAAGTTGCAGATAAATGTTTTTCAAGCAATCGGAAACAGAACAAGTTTCTCCCCACCAAGTGGATTAATTTATACATTGGGAACAGGCAAGAGGTTGCTTCAGTGAGGGCCAACATGCAAAACTGCACTAAATCCAGTGAAACTGGGGCAGAAATTGGAAAATATTTTTAAAGTTTGAAATGCCTTATTTCAACATGTCAAACTTGGAAAGTGGCTGACTCTGTAGCAAGGCTAAGTTCAGCCAATTTAAAAGAATAAATAAATTGTAATTAAAAAAAAGAGATAATTCCCTAAAGGGAAACTTTAAATATGATCCAAAGAGATGATTTCTTCAATTCTTGGGCTCAGTTGCCAATTTGGAAAATTCAGCACTTTCTCAGTCCTGGAAGAAGCAACACCACTTGCCAGGAGGTTTATTTGACCTCTGTTTGCTCTGTGGCTACATCCCTTCTGCCACGCTGCTCATTTCCCATCCCTTCCACACGCAAGCACCCCACAGCACTCCCCTCTCCCCAAAACTTTCGGGTCAGGACTACAGTGCAGACTCAGCTTAGGTGGGTTGCTCACCTTGACGAAGGGGAAGGCAGCCCCAGGGAGGAAGGGCTCGTTCTCGTGGTCCAGCTGGTATTTCACGTAGGCCTCCACCCCTTGTTCGTTGTAAATTTTCTGCTCCTCCTCCATGCGGAAAAGCGCTCGTGATGACACCGCGATGGTGATGGCGTTCTCAGGCTTTGGCTGCAAGGAGAGGGAGAAAATGGGGAGGCAGCCCCTGCACCCAGCCCCGCTGCCCGAGATGGCATCTGTTAGCTTTCAGCATGAAAGGCCACGGGGTGACACCTCCATAGCAATTTGGAGGACAATGGGGCAGCTGCAACCCCAATCTTCCAATGCTTCAACAGATGAAGCCCTGATGTACCATCCCCGCACATTCGGGATACCTGAGAGCCTTTTTCTGCTGCTCACACCATGCCCAAGCCCTCCCACTGCAAACAGGCTCCCAGGACCCATCCAGACCCAACATGCCACCCCAGGAGAACCACTCAACCCTGTGCAGAAGGAATTTGTGTGGCTTTCTCTCCCCGCCTCAGCCAGGAAAAACCACACACTGCAGCTCGGCCAGATCTGCACTCCCACGATGCTGTCCAGATGTGACAAACAACCCGTGCCAGCTCAGCTTATAAAAACACTTGATATAGTTATTGTGGGCGGAAACATGACAAACAGGTGGTGCAAGCAATGATTTATGAGTCATTATTATTAATGTTCGAGGGCTTGATCCAAAATCCACTGAAGTCAACAAGGGGCCTCTAGTGGGACTTGGCAGTGAGAGAGGGGACACCAGGAAAGTCAATCTCATCTTGACCCCCACCCGTCCTACCTCTCCCCTTGGAGGGCAGAAGGGTGTTAATCCCCATCACTCACTCGCAAGCATGAAAGCAAATTCATTACTGATGGCCAACAAGAACTCCTCGCTCCCAGAACAGCAAATCCCAAGGAGGGACAGTGGCGCAGGCAGCCCTGTCCCCAGCGGACTCTGCCTGCAGCGAGTGCTGGGAGCAGGATGGGGCTTGGGGGCTCACACGGGGGATGCTCCCCCGAGCGGTCCCAGCCCACGCGCTTTCTGGCTGCGCTCAGGGATGCTTCTCCGCAGGGAGATGTGAAATCCAGGCCGTCAGCACTTCAGAAACACCTCACCCTCAGCTCCTCCGTGATTTCCAGGATCCTCGTGTAGCACATTGCCCCGTGAGTAATCCTCCGGCAATGCCGTTTGCCCAGGGGCAGGAGGGCACCTTCGCCAGCCCCTGCACACACCCAGGTGCTCCAAAGTTCAAGCTCCCACCCTGCCTAGGGCTGAGCTTTACAGAAACAGCAGCCTGGCAAGGACAAGGCACCCCATCCGCATCAGGGATCTTCACTCCCCGCAGGGCTGGGCCCGCCCTGGGGCTCGCTCTGCCCCCAACGCAGCCCCGCTGATCCTGCCCAGCATGGAGACGCACCCAGGAATGAGTCAGTGGCAGCCCCCATGCCATTCCCAGCACCGCACCCCACCCCGTAAGCGGTGCCCGGGGCCAGCCCTGCAGCGTGGTCGGTCCCAGACACCTTTCCAAGGCCGCATCAGTACCCAAAATCCCCAGCAAGCAGATTAAGCAGTGGGCGATTAGGACTAGACACAGATTAGCTCCAGCTAAGAACATCATTGTGGCCAGTGGGATCCCTTTCCCACGGTGTTTGCAGAGAAATAAGGTCCCATCTGGAAGCGGCTCTTTTGAGAAAGCGGGCGAACAACCCCCCGGACACACAGGATCACCCAGGTCCACGCAGAAGCTGATCAGCAACACCAGTGTCGCTCCCACAAGCGAACCACAGCCAGGTCCCCGTCTTAGGCTTAGCTACCTAGTGGGTGTTAGCTATTAACTTGTCATGGGCCAAGTCTTGGCACTCCAGCTCATTAATTAATAACTCTGGTGTCATGGGCCATTTATTAGCTGAAAATATTAATAACTATTAAAGGTCTTGGGACATCCGGCTATTAGCCTTCAACAAGGAGTCCTGCTGCTCCGTGCTGCTCCCAAGTCCCTGCAGCACCGGGTTATTTATCTGGGTATGTAGGAGAGCTGCTGGCCGCTTGCTCCCCGCTCCTGGTCCCTGACGGACCACAGGGCAGAGCATCCTCCGCAGCCAGCCCTGCAGCAGGATCCCCAGCAGAGAAAGTAGGTCAGCAGCACGCACAGCGCAGAGGCGTGTTCAAGAGGGCGAGACGCGTGTGCGGGGCCATAAGCCGAGCCTAGCCGGCTGCCCAGCCTGAATTTGCATCTCTATCTCCCCGCGGCACACACCTTGCACCCAGCGGGAGCCAAGAGCACAGGCACCTTGCACAACGGCAACAGGCTGCTCAAGGTCCCCTCCCTGCCATTTAAAGGCACCCGCCTCCAGGAGGTTAATTTAAGAGGTAATAAACACAGCAATAAAAATAACCGTAAGCTTGGGGCCTAACTCTGCCCCAGCGTGGGCTGCTGGAGCCCCAGAAGCCTGCAGGCGGGAAGCCCAGCCTCGGGAATGGGACCTGCCGGATCCTGTTCACTCCTGCCAAGGAAGATTTGCACCTTTGGAGCACTTTCCGCAGGAAAGTCTCACCCGGGCGCTAACGCAGCTCCCAGCTCCGGCTGGGCTGGAACAGCCCTGCTGTTCTCTGGGAAATGCTGACATTTAAAAAATAAGGCAATTCTGCTCTGCGAGGAGGGAGCCGCATTTTGACATTTCTTTGAAGTGGAGGTTTCATTTGGAAGCGTTCCCTCCTCAAGGTTGTTTGGACGTTTCTCCATCCCCACTAGTACTGCAGATGATCATTACTACATTAAAAAATGGGCTTTAAAAAGTCACAGCGCTACAGGAACCACAGCACCTCAAATCCTCCATCAGAGTCCTGCGAACAACCCAACAAACCCACTTTGCCTTGAAACATCACAGTTTTTGGGGAAAACACCCTGCATTTTTAATAGGGAGCATGTGCATGGGAGGGGTCCCGCTTCCAGTCCTCGGGATGCATTTAGTCCCACGAGCTGTCGTGAAGCCTGCACAGCTCCCGTCCCAACACAGCCCCAGCCCCGGCGGAACTGGGCATCCTGAATGACAAACCCTGTTTTACTCTCAGAGCAGCATTCAAGGTCAGCCAAGGTCGATTAAAGCTCATCATCCAACACAAGCCCAGGAAGCGGCTGTGGGGCTCTGCTCAGCTGAATCCAACCGGATTGCTGCCTGGGGATTCATGATGGGCTCCTCTCTCTTCCTCCCTTCCCACAGGAAGGTCAGATCCAGCCCCATCCTGAACATCAAGTGAGAGATTAATGTTGTGTTTAACAGAAGTGCGAGCAGGGAAGCATGGAGGAAGGTCCCATCCCAATCCTGGGTCCATCCTCAGGCTCAGCCAGACAGGAGGGATGACCGGGGACACGTCCTGACAGCCCAGCCCTCTGAAGAGGAACATCATCAGCCCTTGGCACAGCCTCCAGGTGGTCCACCAGGTCCAAACCCCATCTCAGAAGCATAAATGACCTTTCCAGCAAGCTCTGGCTCCATAAAGTGCAAAACCCATCCCGGACCCAAAAACCCCAGTTTTGGGATAAAGACGTATTTCAGCAGCGACTGGAAATGGCACATTTTCCTCTGCAGACCCAACAGCTGGTAGGCCTTTAAATCGCCCTGCTAATCAGATGTAAATCCTAAGCAGCCCCCCAAGGATTAGAGGCAGACATTTGGAAATCCCACATGCTCCCAGGATGTGCAGCAGGGCCGTGTCTTCCCACCCACAAGAGCCACAGGTGCCCACAATGGCACCCAACACCAGCAGCTTCATGCCACCCCTGGAGGCCATCGCTGGCTGGCTCTGAGGCAGGAGCCATAGTGGGGACCCCATCCTGCCCCCCTGGATCCTTTTGCATTGCCTGGGGCTGAATTGTCTGGACCCACCTCCATCCTAAAAACCTGGAGGAACTCTGGCAGCTCCAGGCACTTCCCTGGATGCTGCAGAAGAGCAAATTCTTGTGGCCAAAATCAAAATTTGGAGGTGAATTTTGGTGTGAGATTTGGTCACAGAAAGGGAAGAGGAAGGGCTGGCTCCAGGGTCAAGCATGGTCCCCACCGCAGCTAAAGCACCCCAAAAATGAGGCACCCTGGTGAGCTGGATGGGTCCCCATGGGTGCAGGGGACTGGCAGAGCAGAGGACGAGCAGGGCGCCCAGAGGAGCGAGCTAGCAGAAGGCCAGCTCCCACCGCCTCGGCCTCTCCTCCCCGCGCGGCGTCACTCGAGAGGCTGGGGGACATTTTCCGCATTGCTGAGGAGCGACAAGTCTCATCGCTGACCTCCCCAGCTGGCAGGAGCGAGGCCGGAGCAGGCGCGGGAGCCGGGGCGTGGGAAGAGAGGAGCCCCCTGCGAAACGGGGAGCCCCATGGACACCCTGTTAACCCATTTCCCACCCAGGAACGGGCTCCCCAAAATCACCCTGCCTCCTGTCATCTTATAGCCCACCT